ACCACCCCAAAACCACCCAAAATGAATTTAGGGTTTCGCTTATGGTGGTTTTGGGGTGGTGGTTTAGGGTTAGGGAAAGGGGGAGGGGGGCCGATTTCGGTGGGGGGTACGAGCCTAGGGGGCGGATTCCGGTGGGGGGTTTTGGTTCGGGGTGGGGGTCGGGGTAGCGAGAATGGAGAAAGGAGAAAGGGGGGCTGCGTAGGGGTGGGGGAAGGGAGGGGGGTGGGTTCGCGCCGGCGCCGACCAAATCTCTGGGTGCCGGCTGTCGGCAGCGGGGAAGGAAGGGGGTGGCAGTTGAGGGGAGGGGGGTGGTAGGGTTATTTATGAAAAAAATTATTTTTTTTGAATAAACTTAACGGATTCCGTTAAGTGGTAGTGAAATTTTAATTATTAATTTGATTTTGGGTGGTAGCAAAATACAAAAAAATTAAACGGGTAGCAAATGTAACACGAGGTACTTTTGCTGGTAGTAAATGTCAATTTTTCCTGAAAAGTTTTAATGTAGCAATAAGAAATGAGAAACTGAGGGAGATAGGGATCCAATAGTTAGCCACAAATTCTGTAGTTTGGTTACTGAATTCTTATACTTCCTCTGTTTTTTTTTTTGACCTGTTTATTTTATCACGCTTGCCAATTGTAGGGAATATTTCAAGCATTACCCCAAACTTGAACCCCACTGTGATCATACACTAAAGTACGGTGGCGTCCAAAGGGAAAGAAGATAGAGCAAAAGAGTCGCCAGCAAGTTTTAGGAACTTGTAAACCGTTCACGAGGTGAAGCTTACACCCCTTAACGATCCAAGAGATCGTTAACTCCAATAGGTCTGGAACCATGACTGGTAGTTCGGGGATGAAGGTACAAATCCAACCTAAAAGAGATTGAACCTGCCCTAATAATAGGCCTCTATTTTATTCTGATCGTACTCATGTGCGCTTTTTGACTAACATAACAATCATTAGGTTTACCCTAAACCTGTTTATCTGTGTTGGTTGAATATTAATGCACGAATAAAACTATTATTGGCGATCACTTGAATTATAATCATATTAATTCTAAACAAGATTATTAATTATCTTATTAAGCGTGATTACAAGGACAAATTCCCTTTAAACATGCATAAAAAGCGTGATCAAGCACTAACAATAAACATCAAGCAACATAATAATAATCATAATAATAATTATAACCAAAATCATAATCATAATTGAAATAATCATGTTAAAGCATAATAATAATAGCAAGATCCTAGGCATGATAATAACAAGATTAATAACAAACCCTAGCATGTCACTAAACAATAAAGATCAAATATATAACCCTAACATACTACTAACAATCATAAATATTTGGAAGAATATAAAAGGCATCATACTTTTAATCATACTTGATATTAGCATTTTTTAGTTGTTAACCTAAACATGATACTAGGAAGATCAAAACACCCTAACATGACGCTAGGAATCATAATAACAACCTAAGCATGATTTCCACATCATAATATCAATAAAACCATTAAAGCACTTACTTGGATGCCTCGTACCTCTTTCTAATAACAAAATACACACGTTAATAAACAACAATTAAATTAAGTAATAACTGAAATAGAGATTAGGGACCAAACCCTCAGAAATTAAAACCTTTCACGTTTAGGGCGAAGGCAACTTCGAACAATGCTAGGTATGTCTAGTGCTAATGTATGAGGAATTTTGTTTGTAAAAGGCTAGGCTAGAAAGGGGGAGAGAATCAAGAAATTCTTGATGAGAGTTGATGATTGAAAAGGGGAGATATGACCTCTATTTATAGAGAAAAAAGAGGGTCGAAGAATAAGAAAAGAATCCGAATTCGAATCGAAATAAAACTCGATGGACAACAGTTTTTGCGGATTTTGTTTTTATCATATCTTTTGATCTAAAAGTCCAAATAAGGCATATAATATGTCTTTGGAAAGATCTTGAAGTCTAATTTCCAATCAATTAGAATCAGATTAAAATATTTTGTAGATAAAAATATATGGCCGAAATAGTGGGACGGTGTCAGTTTTGGATAGAGTTTCATATCTAATTCATATTTTTTTCGTTATAACTCGGATTTAATATTATAATATATCATTGGAAAGATAATTTCAAGATCTATCCAACCATATAAAATTTGGATAAAGGTTATGAGGCACGAAAATAATATCTGACTGTCTTTGAACATCTTTAAATTCGAATAGAATTAGGATTTAAGAAAAGGAAAGTTTTAAAAAAAGGAAAGTTTTTATTTAATTCAAATTCTTTAATCTTATCTTTTCAAAAAGGATAATTAAGATCTTTTAAAAACTTATAGAAGCTTCTAATTAATCCTTATTAGTTTAGGAATAGGATTAGACCTTTGGACCCTCCACATGATCATTGGGCCATAACTAAGATCCGGTTCGAGCCCAGTTTATGTATTTTGGTCATAACTTCCTCATTATTCATCGGAATTGGGCTTATAATATATCGTTGGAAAGGTATTTTCAATCCCCATCTAACTACACCATTATTGGACCCATATCATAGACCAAACTAAACTGGAATGCACGTTTTTTAAAAATAGGGTAAGAAAAGAAATATTTTCAAAAACAGAAAGAAGAGATATTTTAATAAAAACATCATCATCACTAGAATTTTTACACTTTCGCTTTGTTAGATAATCAAATGACATGAAAGGTATTCATCACTGGGTATTTGGTTTTGGGGAGACACATTTGGGTGTTTACACCAATGCAAAACTTTAACGATCAATAACTTTAATTCTGCATAAGTATTAAAAATTATAATAGTTATATATTATGATAGTACATATTGAGACGAATTCAAAAAGAACCCACATGTATATATTTTTTCCTTATATATTAATCACAAAAGACGGTCAAAAAAAGAATGATGAATAGTGTAAAAGTGAAAGCGGGTCAAGTAAAAAAGAACGGAGAAAATTATGTCAATAATGGTCATGAGAGCTAAAAAGATCTTAAACCAACAATTATTAAAATGTCACCTGACATCTTAATTTATCAATATTCCCGCTTGCAATGGTGACACACAATAATAATAATTATAATAATAATAATAATAAAAAGAGAGGATGACTTCTTTTATATTAAAAAAAAAAATTCACCCGCCTTAAGGGCCTGTTCTGTTTAGCTTAATTTTAGTTCAGTTTAGCACCAATCAGTTCAGTTAGTTTAATTCAGTTCACTTCATAATTTCCTTCTCTTATAAACAATTTATTTCAGCTCTATTCAGTTCAGTTCAATTCAATTCAATTAAGTTTAGTTCAACCCCAATCAGTTCAATTTAATTCAGTTGTTTTCAGTTAATCGATATAGGCCCTGTGTGCAAAATGTCTTACCAATGGTGGATTATCAATCTCCTAGAGTCTCAGAAATTAAAAGGAACTTGACTTTGAAAACTTGAATCAAAATCTTCACCATTAAAGTGAATCTAATTAATATAAATCTACCTAACATACAACCACCAATTACACATTACACAATCATACACCAAGAATTGTAGACAAATTAATAATTACTATTGTACAAGATAGGTTAACTATGAGTCCATATATCTTAATGAATTTGATACCATAAATTTCAAGTTTTGAGTGTTCAATATTAGTCACAATTTTAATTTATCACTCAGTGATGATCCGAAGTCCCAACTGCCATTTTAAACGGTCAATTTTAGGAAAAATTATTAGTAAGGTTGGAGATTTTAAATATACATTGACATTACCATAAGATTAACATGGACACGTGGACAATGGACATTATCATAACATAAGATTATCGTTACATTACTAACAAATGTTTTTCTTTCCCCCACGAACAAATTTTAGTGTAGGGTGAAAAGGGGATATATGATAGATGACAATGGGGGTTAGTTGGGAGGTATATTTCTTAAGTTCTTAAGTACTACTTGTATGTAGTAGTAAGTCAAGGAGAAACATTGTCTTTCACTCTTTCAAGTCTAATGTAAATTAATTGGGTAATTTACTAGCTGGTAAATATGTCCTTGGTTGTTATGTGGTCAAACATTGTCCTTCATAGACTGCCAGACATTCTCATAACGTTACTAGCTAGCTTAACTCCAAGACAATCATTTTTCAACTTTTAGGATGGAGTCTTGAAGATTAGAGGTGACAAAAGCACACCCGATCCGACCCGATGCGAAAAATATCCGATACATATTTACACTTGCGTGGACATAACAATTTAGTATGACTTAACTTTAAAAATTGATCTAACCCGACCATATTAGACTTGATCCGATCGTTCGAATTGACACCCCTAGTCGAGATTATCAACTCAACACTCTATTAGAAATGTGTAAGTGAGCATTACGTATCAGATGTACTTCAAAACTACTTTTATTTAATAACTAAGGGCTTGTTCTGATTTATTGAACTGAATTGAATTGAAGTGTTAAGAGAGAAGAAAATTAGGCACTAAATTGAAATTAAGCTAAAGAGAACATGTCCTAAGTGTTGACTTAACTGTAAGGAAAGAACCTTCCAACCTTAAGGTGGAGAGTTCAATTTCTACTAGAGGCATTTTAAAGATGGGAAAGATACCTTGGCCTTATCATTCCCCTTCACTTTTAAAGTGTTTAATTAGCCTGATAATTTGGGTTGACTTAACATGTGACTAGAGCATCTTAATCGATGAGATAGCTCTTTTTACTCACCAAATAAATAAATAATGCTTTTACTTATATGTTCAATCATGGTGGATAGCCTAGTAAATTATGTAAAATAATTCCAAAAATTATTATTCCAAAATTAAAAATCACAACCTCCATTATCCCCACATACATACCACTAGACCATTTCCTCAACCAATTTGTATTTACCATAGTAGACCCAATTCTTGTATGTACCTTGTTTTTCTTTGGTGATTCAATGCACAAACTGTTGAGCCGTTTTCCCAACTGCCTTATTAACAGCGCCAACTAAGTCTGCTTTTCACTAATTCCAACCATTCTTCGACTATTTTAAGGACACCATTCAACTTTATAGAATAACATACATCAAACTATTAAAAAAAAAAAACACTAAGAAATATTTTCTTTGATTTGTGCAAAACTTAGGCTAGTTGTTATGGATATTGGAAGCAATGGAGGGGTGCAAAAGAACAAGGAATGGGAAACAACTCGTGCCACCAAGACGGGGCGGCTCGAGCTTGTGTTAAGGGTGTTGGCCTTAATACTAACACTAGCAGCTGCCATTTTGTTAGGGTTGGACAAACAAACTAAGATTGTTCCTATTAAAGTTTTTCCTAATCTTCCGGCTCTCAATGTGCCTGTCATGGCTAAATTCAGTCATGTCTCTGCTTTTGTGTAAGATTTCTCTTAGTCTTTGGTTTGTGCATGCATAATTACATGTATTATAGCTTTCAATTTTCATTATATTACATAATTTCAAACGTTCATCAGTTTATTGAAGTGTGTTTAAAATCAAAATATCTAAATATGAAACTTATATAGTTATATATAAATAGAATTCTCTCCGTTTTAAAAGTGCAACATTTGACTATCACGAAAGATTAGCATTGTAGTTGAATTTGTTAAGATAATAAGACAGTGGGATTTGTGGGAAATTTAAAGTAAGAATGAATATCATAGGTAATGAGAAATATAATAAAATAGTGTACAAAATTACTGTCACTTGTATAATTATTGCATTTAAAATAACGATCGAATTTGAAAAGCGTTGCGTTGCTATATTTTTTTTGTACATTATTCATTATGTTGTCAATGACCATATTCAAACTGTTTATATTATAAATCATAACTTATAAGGCCATATCGATGAACTTAAGGCCTGTTCTCTTCAGCTTAATTTCAGTTCAGCTCCAATCAGCTCAGTTTAGTTCGGTTTCTAATTTCTTTCTCTCATAAATAAATTCAGTTTAGTTTTATCCAGTTTTAATCAGTTCAGTTCAACTCAGCTAGTTTGGTAAATCAGAACAGATTCTTAATCTAACAGACCTTCTTATCGACTCTTATTAGACATGATTGATTATTTGGTTATAAGATGAACAAGATACACCTTTTTTTTTTTTGACGGGGAATAAGATACACCATTAGCTACTTAAAAAAGCAATTAATTTTAAATGTTTATTAAATCATTTAATATGAATATATATATATATGATTACTATATATATCATTCTACATCATTTTTGCAAAGGGGCATATAATTTAATTATCTACCTTGGGCTTTTCTGTCATAAATATATTTAGGTGTGTTTGGCTCTTTGAACATAAATACGTTTAGGTGTGTATGGTCCATATCTCTTTCGGCCATTTAATTCTTTTATCTCTCCGTTACAAGTCTTGCCTCATTAGCTGCAAAATTATGATTAAATGATTAGTCAATCAAGTACACTCTTGGAGATATATCCTAATTCCAAAAACACACATTAATAAAAAGTATGGGGAATATGACGATCTCTATGAACGTTTTTTTTTTAAATAAATTATAATACAACACGCTTTAATGTCCAATAATACACAAAACGTACAGTTTAGCATACAACATACTTCGTAAATAAGTAGTTGTAATAAACAATTTTTTGTTTTATTTATTTATTTATTTTTATATACTCGTGATAGTTTAAATAAATGATCTTCAATACATGTTATTCACAATAGGTACTCTGTGGTGGCAAACTCCATCGCCAGTGTATTCGCGGCGGTATCACTAGCTCTTACATTAGGGAGCGGAAAAGGTGGTTCGCGCTTGATGATGATCTTAGTTTTGGATTTGATTATGGTATCATTGTTGTTTTCAAGCATTGGAGGAACGAGTGCAGTCGGAGTTATCGGTATAAAAGGAAACTCACATTTACAATGGAACAAAGTTTGTAATGTGTATGATAAGTTTTGTCACCAAGTTGCAGCTTCAGTTGTCCTCTCTTTATTAGGGGCAATAATACTTCTTTTGTTAGTAATTCTCACAGCTTCAAAGACCCAAAAGAGAGCCTAAATGTTGTTAAATGCCTTGTAATTTCACTAGTTTATTGTAATATTGAATAGAATTTCAATTCCGTTTTGCACTCTATCCTTAAACACATTTGTTTTGGTACGTCATGAATTCAAATATGGATAACGACAAGATCACTGTATGGGGAATATCTTTTAATTGTGTTAAGTTTAGGTTTATAATTTTATTGTTATGTCTCTACCTTTCGAAAATTCTAATATGGTCCTTTTTATTTGGACCACCACTATTCTTAATTATCATTGGTTGATTATTATTTATTTTTTTTCCTTGGTCAAACCTTAAATTTGGTATTTTCCTTTTTTAATTCATTTTTTATTTTACAAAATATAATTACAAAATTTAGAAAAATCATTTTATTATATTTTCGAAATTTATTTATATATTAAAATCAGATTTTAATTAAATCAAAAAAATGATTAAATTAAAAAAAATTCAAAATCAAAAAATTGTTCATCATGTTCTCCATAGTTCATCAACGTTCTTCAACTTTTTTCATCCATGGAGATATTAAACATGAACACATGATCTATGTCCATTATCATCCACTCGCGCATCGAAAGCGATTTACAATACGACTCGATCTAAAAAGAAAATCCGAAATTTTAATTTACAAAAAATTTGGGATCGTTGCGATTTTGGGCAGCGATTGAAATCCCTAAATAATAGGTTTGGATTGTACAATATCAGTCAAAGTTTGCCAAAACGATGACTTTATGTAATCGAAATCATAATTTTTAAGTTTTACGGTAATTGGGGTTTATCATGATTATCTGGAAAAAAAAACCGCATCATTCTTTGGTTGAAACCTTGTTTGATCCAAAAAAACACGGAAAACGAATTTAAAATCTTGTTTGTGTAAATGTTTAACCCAAAAAAGGATAGGACATTACCTGTTTTTAAAATTGTAATTATTAACAACATATGACATTAGGTTGTTTTGGACATTACCAATTACTGATTTATAATTCACTAACATTTTGTTATGTTCTTTATTGGTACGGAGTAGTAAATATGAATGTGGTCTTCACTGGACAACCACGATATCATGTTAACCAGGTTTGGTATAAATGATAATTAATATATATTTACTATTGTAGTTTACTTTATGTATGCATATACTTCAATATTAGATTAAATACTTTTAGAGAGACTAACTAACAATTTTTTATTTTATTTTTTTATTTTACTCCCTTGTTTGATCCCAAAAAACGTGGATTGAAATTTAAACCTTATTTAACTTACCGTGCATGGCACGAGCCTTAATCTATTATCTTATTATACTCATGTATTATTTGGTATATATATTTATAGCTTAACAAATATGATATATACACTCTAATAAAATATATATTAAAAATATATTCTAATCAATAATCTTATGATCATAACATATGAGTAAAAGTGAAGAATTTACTTTTCGAGTCTTTTCATGAAAATTTGCTGCTGTCTATTATCATAACAAAATACAAGCTATTAGTCAGCCAAAGATTTTGCTAATCATATGCGTGAGTGTAACAACTTAATGCTAGGAATTAGTAGATCAGTTACACAAATATTGAAACTAAAAGCTTACAAAAGGAGGCTAAATATATACTAGCTATAAATACAAAGATACAACATAAAATAGAATATATATTCAAAATATAATATTTAAGGCAAAATATAACATATTCTAACATTAAATGTATTCATATCAAATCTAAGCAATACAAAGACCGAAGATGTGTACGCATAAAAAAAATTTAACATTTGAATATAATCTTTTCAAATTTAAAAATATACTAATTTAAAAATCTTTTATACAATAATATAATAAGATAAGAAATTAGGAAACTATCCTTATTATTATCATTGGGAAGGGTTATTCGTGGGAGTGAACCGTGAGAGGGATGGTGAGGTGGTCTTCGCCAGTGGGGGAGGGGGAAATGCGTTGCCCGGTGATTAGGTCGGCTAAGCGCCGACAACTGAGGTGGGAGGTCAGGGTGGCGGTGGCTAGGCTGGTGGATTGGAGAACATTTTTGTTTAGATTTTGGTAAATTTTTTTAATTAATTATTTTTTTAATTTTTTTTATGTATCACGTCCTGACACGTATCAGGTGCGTGACTTATTATAACAAGTTTTATAACCGGTTGGGACAATTAAAAGCCAATTAGTCTTAAGTACTCCTGGAGTTATCGTGCTCCTAAGGTACCATACTTCTATATGTTTCTTATATTAAGACCATGTGTTATTTTACAAAAACATTGAAGTTATTTCAAAAAATCCTTATTTTATGTTACAACTTACAACACACATGCTACTTTTTTAGTTTTGAATTGTGTTTGTTCATTGCTATTTTTTTTATACATAAATTGTGTTATTTTTTTTATACATACATTGTGTTATTTTTTTTATTATATATTTTTGTTAATTTCTGTAGATATATATTGAAGTTTATTTTAAGTTTAAATTTATGTTATTATTTCAATTCTGTTATTATATATTGCTTATGTTATTATTGAGAAGTATGCAGATATATTCAACTCTAAGCCAATCGACATTTTAGAATTGGGTAGTATGAATATATGTGTTGATTCAACTATCTCAATTTGTATTTCTGACGAGAAGAGCATAAAATTAAATTAAAAAGTGTGATTATTTTTGACGAGAAGAGCGTAAAAATCAAATTGAGAAGTATGAATGTAAGATTAGTGATCAAGCATATTTATAGAACAAAAACTTTTGCATTTTGTGTTTATTTTTTTGATTTTGATAGTCTGTTTTTGTGAAAAAAAAAGTCACTTTTGTGATAGAAAAAGCGGTCATTTTTATGAAATAAAAGAGTAACTTTTATGAAAATATAGGTCACTTTTGTAAGAAAAAAAGGGTCACTTTTGTAAGAAAAAAAGGTCACTTTTCGCAAAATGTTCGATGTACAATAAAATTATTGTAAACCGGGGGCATGCAAAAGTTTTTGTTTTATATAATATACACTTAATTTAATTAAGCTTGTATAATCAACAATACTATTGTTGAAATTAAATTAATTACATATATAATATTGATATTATTTATACATAAACAAATTACGTATAACTATGTAAATATTATATTGCACATATTTATGTGTATTGATGCATAAATATGTGAACAACGCCTTACTTTCCTTCTATCATAAAATATTCAGTTCAATTCAGTTTAGCTTAATTCAGTCAATCAGAACAGACCCTAAATGTTTCAAAAAGAAAAAATAAAAAAGAGTTAATCAAAAATCACCGATTGAACAATTTAAAAAATACACTCCTCAAAATCTTCCCCAAATCAACAACATTAAACCCCTAATTCATTCCTGATTTAGTGTAGTAATGTTGATCAATTAAGGTTTTTTTTACTCTTTACATTCTCATTAATTTGATCATATCGGGAGCGATTCTAATTGGTGACAGTATATTTAAACACCTTCATATTCGACTTGTGGATCTGGTACCGGCACCGCCTCCGGCTCCAACTCCTCTTGTTCCGGCTATTACTTTTTAATGCAAGAACGAACAGGTTGTCTACCCTCTTCTTCGTGCTTTTCTCTCTATGCTTCCCCCATGTTCGGCAACCACCATTATCTCTTACTTTGGTATGTCCTTAATCTCTACTTGCTTAATTTCTTGAATTTGCTTGGTTAATTTTTAAGTCATTGTTTTAATTGTGATGTAGTGAACCAAAATGGCACGGCTTTCTTTTACCCTTTTGTGAGCTCCCGTCATTTCCCTCGCTGACTGAGCACAAGATTGAATTGCTTTGTTTAATACTTGAGGAACAGGAAAAACAACAATTCATCGGGACTTCTATTTTGTATCTTTCATTGGGCGTAGATGATTATATCTACATCTTTTTAGGGGAGGGGAAGTCCTCCGTGCTCCATGAGGCGTCCAACTCTATACATGATTTGTATGGTGCTGGGGTCGAAAAGGTAGTGATGATCATGGGGTTTTACCCTCTTGGATGTGCTCTTATCAACGTCCTTAATGACTTTCTCGCTGGAAGAAATCCCAGAAGGACGAGGGTTTGTATCAATCAGATTAATCAGCTGATTATGCATCATAATCGTCTCTTGAATGAGCACATTAGCAACTTGAATCTACGCTTCAGTTTGTGTTTTGTGATATTTACAAAGGCTTCCTGCAGATCCTGTCCAACCCGACTTCCTTCACTTGGGACTTCTATAATCCTTCTGAGGCTGTCAATACTGTGCTAGCCGAGTCTGCTTGGTCTGGTCAGCCGTTGGTTGAAATCTGTCATACATTAGCATCCAAGCATTGCCATACTTGGAGAATGGAAAGCCCTCCTCTTCCCTTGATTCCCGTTTATTTGGAATGGAGATGTAATCATTTCCTTCTTTATGGATGATACCTTGATATTTTCAGGTAATTTTTGTTAAACTACTAAGCAATTAAACAGAAATTACTTATCTATTGATGCGTGAACCAAACTGACAATAGCCGCGTCGTGGAGAACCACTGACCTAAAAGACGATTCCGCGCTACCTCCCGGTGCAGTAGACTAGAAGAGGTCGCCCTCCAGAATAAGCACGGCGCCGGAGTTTATGTGCACTCACAAACCCGACTGGAACGAACTCAGAATATTTGCCCAGAAAACAGAAAGAACTCGTGTTTAGATAATTTTTTAGAGAAGAGAGAAGACTGATTGTGTTGTGTATACTGACTGGGAAAAGCAACGAGTATATATAGGCATTAGAAGGGAGACCATAAGCATAAAACTAGGGATGAATCTGGCTAAGGAAACGACCAAATTCATTCAGCCAGTCAACAAAGGAAGCAAGAAACAAGGAATTAATCAGTCAGCTACAATCAAGGGATTAATGATTGATTTAATTCCTTAATCCCAACAGTCAGAAAAAAATATTCCCAATAGATAAAAAAGAATATATATTCTGTTTAACAAAGAAAGGGAAATAAAATTTCTCTAAAAAGATAACAAGGACCCACACCCGCGCATCGCATTCCCCAAGACCCAAGTCCCGAGGCCCGAGCTCGACCCTGCTCGGCTTGGCGTGCGCGCGTGTGTGTGGAGTAACACTTACCTCCCACTCACTCAACTAAGTAGTGCTAAGACACTACAATATAAAAACAAGGGAAAACCTTTTCCCCCAACCAATGTGGGATTTTCCCCTTTCATTTGCTTTTCTCTCTCTCTTAT